GCCCCCCATAAATATCAGGTAACGTTTCGATCCATTTTTATTGAAATAATTCAATAGCGTCTCAGGAAGCGGGCCCTTCACAATAGGCCCTCACACCCGATGGCCCTAAAATGCATGGGAGTGACCTCCGTTAAGAGTTGTGTTTACAAGGGGGCTTGTCGAAGGAGAGATGATGTTTGTTGGTTGCCATTCTCCTTCGGTCATTTGTTGCACCGCTTGATTTATGTGGTCAAAGCTGGACATAAAACTTATCTGCCATCGATACCATTCTTAGGCGTTTGGACCGCTGCCCATAAATTACTCCGCGAGGTGTCTCAAATGAAATACGGCCGGAAGGACCATTAAGAAAGAACATCGTCCTCAACTTCAAATTTACGAGTGCAAAGGGTTGAAGGGAATATTTTGCTACATAACCGAGGGCAAGAGAAAGATATCTCAGTTTTCGACGCCAGGTCATAAATATAGGTCCCGTCGTGATAGAAAATGAATTGAAATTATACTTTTGAGACATAAACTGCAGAAACAATTTGTGTGTTTTACTGCCCTTAACCTTCGAATAGATTATTGAATCTTTTCAAGTGTTCATCACAAAAAATTTGACAGGAAGATCTAGAACTTGATTAGTTTAGACTAGCAGCACCATGCTGAGTTTGACCTTCTCTCCGAAAATAAGAACGCACGTTTAGAACAGCATTCTTTTTTTTTTTTTTTTTTTTTTTTTTTTTTTTAGATTAAGTGCCAGATTGGAAAGAAATTTAGTTTTCAGCTTCTTGAGACTAGTAAATGATCGCTTTTTAGCCAAAGAATCAAAAGAATGCTGACAGCAATTTCGCCAAACATTACTTATAAATACTCTTCGTTGACAGCAAGCAAACGGTCACATATTGCAATATTTATTTGAGTATCAATTAAATATTTGAATGGGTGCACTAAAACAGATGCACTACGCTAAAAGATATTAAATGAGCTGTTCGGAATTTCGGACAGATATTGATTTACGGCAAGAACGCCAAAGATGTCTAAATAACAAACAATAAACAACAGTAACCAGCAACATCATGTAATCGAAATAAAAAAATTAGTGAAATTGTTATAGCGTTCCATCTTTCATAGATGAACATCTATGGAAATGACATTTTATCGAACATAAACAAACATACTTCCGTTTATAGATTTTCACACATTTCTTCCATATAGATCGTTGGAAAGATCATATTGAACATTTTCTCTCTAAAGTAACCATCTACACAGAAGGTGTTAATCGTCTGGGAAAATGGCGGACTTCTTAAGGTGGTTTTACTGCAAAACATAATTACATACAAGACATTTCAAAAATTTTGAAGTTTAATTATTATAAACACCAGGAAATAAAGAAATTAAAGTTCATTTCGTAATCTTTAAGATATTTATTTATACGCAATCTAAAAGGCCGTCCTAAAATTTTATTTTCTTTAAAATATTAATCATGATGCCATTTTTGAGAAATAAAATAATGCTGTACATTATTTATATTTCTAACATCATACAGTGCTTAAAAGTCCAACCTTGTTTAAATAGGTATTTAAAATTTTGTCTTAATATTTATATGTAGTAATATACAGAATGTTCCGTGATGTGAATACATTTTTAAAATCATAAAATCAAATTGGAGTTTCGGAATGCAGCCCACCTAAGCATTTATCACAGAGAAGACTTTTTAATTTAAGAAATTTTATTTAAAAGTTTCACTGATAGATGGTGTTGTATCATGAATATTACAAAAAGGACAGATTTAAATTCTTTAAAACTAGATGTTCAACTCAGAATTCATGACGGAGTGTTACGTTATTAGTAGTATTATAAAAAATGCTACATCATTAGTAATATGCCCACAAAAGAATAATGCCGTTTCATCTTAATTTTCTATGTACTTTTACTGTTATACTAACAGGGATATCTATTGGTAGAAATGTGAGCTAAAATGTATCCTTTGCCCAAAAAACGCCACCTCCGGTGATAAACAAAGAAATTCTTAAATGCAAACTGCACTCTGATACGTATATTTCTAGATTTGCGAGGAATGTTTTTTAACTACATCCCAGTTTGTGAGGCACAGCGTACATGCGGATATTTTTAAAGAGAAAAATATATGTTCCTCGAATTAGCTAGACAAGTTAGTGGAGACAGACATATTTGTTCCCTTTCTTTAGTATTTTAACATCGTATTTTAAATTTTCTTTCTTTTTTTTTTTTTCCAATGGCAGATTGTGAACAGTTATAGTCAAACCCAGTCCATTAATCTATACTAGGCTAGATGTGGTGGTCTCTTTATTATGGAGGCACCTAATAGGTGGGCCACCATCGCCTCCTATGAAGGGATGGACAGTTACAACCATGCCTCCTCCGGGATTCGAAACCAGGCCCTTCGGTATCGCAGTCAGCTTCCCTAACCACTATACCGACTGGGCGGTGTATTTTAGTTAGTCTTATGCCAACATCTATTAAGTTTTACTATTATTTCCAATGACGAGTATTAGCCGTTATTTTCGTCGGCCACTACTAAGGCTAGAAACGGCGGTCACTTTATTATGGAGGAACCTAATAGGTGGATATTAACAAATACTTCATTTGCAATATTTCTTTTATTAAAGGATTCAGAAATAATCCATGATCGCAAAAATATGCCTAAATATAAATTTTAAACTCCAAACGTTTCCTTAAGATCTATAAATTTCATAACATTTCCGTCCGCGAAGTTTCCTTCCAAAGCTTCAATACAATCTTTTAGGTCAAGTCACTACGATTTCTTACGCTTCCCGTAAGTTTGTGTCGACAGTTATACAATCTCAATATAATAGTTACTCGCGAGATCCACTGAAAGAGGGTTTAAATGGAATATTAACAGTGTCAAACGCCTAAATAACAACACTTGAAACATGCGACGTCACTGAATCCTTTCACAAGATGCGAATTTTGCGGGCCATTTAACCATTAAATTTGCACTTTTGTTAATACAAAATAAGAAAGCGTGTTAGCTATTATATAAATGACTAGAATTATATTTTAATTCACAAACACATTATAAAACTTAGTTTCGTCAAATTTTTTTTTTTTTTTTTTAAATGCTTTCTGTACGATATCTAAAGTCGGTACGATATCTGATAGTGAAGGTCCATTTTTAGCATAATATGTATTGCAGCAAAGCTAAAAACTTAGGTTAAAACTAAAAACTTCCCACATTTTTATACCTCACCTATTATTATGTTCCAAAAATATATTTAAAATGAAACTCATATATATTCTAGCCAAAATACGATAAATATCTAAAATAACTATTTTCCTAGAGCACTTTTCAACTTTTTTTTTTTCCTTCCCCTCCTTGTTACTTCAGATCTTTCGTATCAGGTCGCAGTTTTCCGAGACTCCTACCTCCTCGAAAATTTTGAAAAGTGAAACCGTTTACTAAGTAACACACGTATCAAGCGAGACATGTGGTATATGGCGAGACACACTAACGCAAGCAGGTCCAAGATTCGATTACATTGATTACAGACACATGTGTAATTAATCGGATAATATTTTATTTTTTATGCAGCATTGGCTAAAGAATAAATAGGGATGGAAACCGCTGTTCTTAATGTTTTGACACTTTTGGAACTGTGCTTGCAGTACAAAAACTATTTAACCTACTTTTTTATATGAAGTTTCATTTTTGTTAAAAATTGATTTTGGGGATGACAATATGCCACACTATTAAATACACTAATATTCGCTTTGTTTTCCTTATCGTTATTACCGCTTTTTCGTGACAATGGGTTATGCTTAGTGTTAAGAAATTTTTTGAGCTGCTGAAAAGAAATGGTTGGTCGCTTTTTCTAGAAACGCATGCTACAAACCCTGGGTGACCTTAAGAATGTTCTGGAAAACTGGTGCAGAAATTTTTTATGAGTGATACTAGCAAACACGTTTTTGTGTTTGATATCAAGTGGTAGATTAAGAGCCGAAGCCATAATAATTAAGAAGTTGAGCATTCGATAAAATATTACGGCATAGATTTAATATACAGGATAGATTTAAAATACTAAATCTATGCTGTATAGTCATTCTAAATATAAAAATTGAAATACTAAATCATTACAAGTGTTTTTCATTTTTTAATGTAATTACTGAAATACGTAAGTGCCCTCTCGCGAATTACAGACTTGCAATATCTACTTCACAGCAACCAACAAAGATGTGTCGTCATCGTTGTGAAGTAAAACGTTTCGCATAAAGCTTTCGGCACCTTTATACTACTGACGAGATTTTGTATAAAAATACGGGACTTGCATAGCAATGCCTGCACCAGCATAAAAAGTATCGGAAGCTTTACGAAAGTTACCCCAACTCGAATAAACTATTAATTTATATGAGAGTGTAAGCACGTTTCAACCAAAGCATTCTGGTAAAGTTTTCGGTTTTTATAAAACAGTAGCCGATGTGCATAAATGCATCAGCATTTTCAAAACCGGGTAATTTATTTTGATAATTGTTTTTATGTACGTAAAGTCTGTGCAGAAAAGAAGTATCAAAAGAATATTCTTAAAATCTTTTTTCCAGTTTTGTGAACGTAAATTTCGCGCACAAATAAAAGGCAAGATGCTGATTGGATTTGAAAGTACGGTTCGTAGAAACTTTATATTTTAAGTAAGGTAAGATGATATTTTTCTTAAGAAATCAAGGTCGTAAATTAATTTTAGTTGGAAAAAAGGTCACTCAGATTTGAAACTTTTAACTTCCTGTCAGAAAAATCGCTGATATATACGTGATACAGAATATCTTTTAATGAACAAACTACTGAGGATGATAATCGTAGTGCGTCCAATCCAAACAGCAATCTAATCAGGAACAGATGTTTCAATAACGGCACTATTCGAAACAAAATTTACTTGAAGATCGTGTAAAAATGTTTGCTGAAGTATATGGGGAAAAAATTAGGCACATAATTATATCTAGAATTCAGAATTAAAGATACACTCGAATCTAGAATAACATTAGTCAAACATTTATTCACATGCTTACAATTTGCGATTAACACAAATGTAGTATAAACGTTTTTTAAAAAGTGAGTAACAGCTGTTAAGCGTTCATTCTATTGTTATAGATCCAGTAAGCTAGAAAATGGCCACGGTGACAGAAATGCAGGACTAGTTTTCAGCATTGACATTTTGAGGCACAGCACTGGCAGGAAAAGTTGCCAATTTTATTTAACTACTTCTGGTTGTTTTGTGTCTTGAAAAATCCTAAACTGAAAAGAGAAGGAAAAAAGTGTCATTTTGAAACATTCCATCGAGTTTCCTTAAGCACTTAAAAACTAAATAAAATTTATGTAGATAATTTTAATAACTCTAAAATCATTCAAAATATTCTTAACATTAAATAAGATGTCTCATATATACGCATATACTTTGCGTAAGCATTCCTCACTAAATAGACAAAAATATGGAAAGAACTGCACTTCTAAAATTCATTATTTTCGAGAAAAACCTTAATGAAAACTTAGGATGGCGTATTTACGCAAGAAAAATTAGTTCTTATTTACACATTATACACATCATAGCTGATAAAAATAAAACAACTTGTTAATTTACTAATAACAATGTGTTTGTGACACTGTTAATGATGCATTCAGTTCTTGATACTTTCATAGGATGAAACTATCGATATTGGTTCGGTTGATAATAATCTCAAAATAGGTAAAGTATAACGGTACATTTTAGTTCAAATTTTCATCGACAGATTACACCGTTGTGACCCCCAGAGTAAGAATAAAATGAAAAAGTTAACTTTATGCACCATTTATTTTTTACATTTGCGAGTATATTACAGTACAAATAATAATGTAAAAGTTAGCACGTCGTTACAAAATTTTTTTTTTTTTTAAATTTGCACATTTTTTGCGATATTAATAATACAACATCAACGAAAATTTGAACAAAAGCTTCTCTTATGCCCAAATAATATCGGCCTGGGTACACAACATACGCCACTTTGTAGCTATGATATGATTTTTGAAACGTGACCAAATTTTAAAAATACCAATTGTGGGGATTTACTTAACAGTTATTTTATGTTTAAGCAGCCTTTCCTATCGCTCTTGCTTTCACCCCACACCTTCTTGCCAGAATGAAGATCGAGGTAGAAAATGTATTCAAATGAAGTAGAAAGAAGTTAGTATTTAAGGGAAGGTTTTGGAAGTGAAGTCAGAGCGTATTCTGCCTGCCTGAAGGCCAAGTTACTATCTTTGATTTTCTAGCGATTAGATTTCTGTGGCATTGAGCTATCCTTGCCATTAGACTTGTTTACGCTAACGTTTCGAGTCAGAACCAGCTTGCGCGATAGTTAACCTGTTAGGCTAACTTAACTTCATTACTTTTAAATTATTCACTACCTTACGAGTTACATCAAACTTATGAACGGTATAACAGTAAGATATATCCCTTATTTAAAATAGCTAAATATACTCTTTTTCAAAAAAAAAAAAAAAAAAAAAAAAAAAAATTGAATCACCATGAAGGAAATGGTTTACACCTTCTAGGAGGTATGGTTAGGAGTGGTAGAGGTTCCTAATGTCATCCTGCGACACATTATGCCAGGCATTCATCAGTTGTCGCTCCAGATCTGCGATACTTTGTGGTGCCCGAATCTGACGGCCTACTATGTTCCAGACATGCTCGATTGGTGAAAGGTCTGGTGACCTTGCTGGCCAAGGAAGAGTATCAACCGCACGGACAGCGTAATGGCAAACCGCACATTGAGTTGATCAATGTTAGGCGAATTTCGCTACATGCCCAGAATATAATTTGGTGCAATTACAACTTTAGCGCAATTTAAAAGAAGATAAATACGGTATATGGTTGATATTGTGTTATCTGGGTGTAAACAGTTCGGGGTTTTAAAAACTTGTTAGGTTGTAAGTTGCTTCATTACATAGAATGTAACTATCGATTGTACACTACGCAAATTTTAGTTTACGAAGAATTACAAAACAGGAAACATTACAAGATATATTCGCTGAATGCTTATTGATTATAATTCTGAGGAATAAAAGCAATTGAGTATTTATCATACGTTCCGTTTCTATATACTTTAACAAATTAAGGAATAAATTCAGTTTAAATTACTGGAATAAATTCAGTTTAAATTACTGAAAGTCAAATAACTGATATTAAATGTAATGTTTATGAATAAAATAAACCAAAATGAAATGAAACAGGAGCATACGCAATAAGCACACACAAATTTCCGGAATATTTCAATTGTAAACAGTAAATCCAATATGACAAACAGGCTTGTGTATGTTTGCTTATGCTTAGTCGCCAGAGTTTCATCCCACGCCAACGGTACACCATTGAGCATGCGCAGTAAGCAAAATTCTTTAACATTGATCAACTCAATGTGTAGTTTGCCATTACGCGCACAGAGACAGTCCAGAGTATGCGGTATGTGGCCTGGCATTATCTTGATAGAAAATGGCCCCAGGATGACGTGTCATGAAGGGTAATGCAACCAGCCGCAGGATGGTATCAACATATCGTTGCGCTGTTAGATGTACGAAGGTTGACTAAAGATGACCTGCTGTCAAAAGAAATAACGCCCCACACCATCGCACCAGGGGTTATGGCTGTATGCCTTTGTAAAACAAAGGCTGATTGCGACCGCTGACCCCGTCCTCTCCCTACACGAACACGGTGATCATCTGCTTCAAGAGTGAAGCGGGATTCATCGCTGAACACTATACCAGTGCTCCGCAACCTTTTCTCACCTGCGACGCAGAAAAAAATCTTTCTGGAATTTCGTGGCACACCAAAGAGTTCCGAGTTATCAAGGAAGTGCCGAAAAAATTCAAATGCTGACACACTTACAATCACACACACAACCAACACAACAGTGAATATATAAAAACATTTAAAATAGACATTATTAAGGGAAAAAAATGTCATTGTGTATTAAATACATGATAAAAAATTGCAAAATGTCAAATACATGTATTTGATTGCGGCACACCTATATCCTACTCATGGCACACCAGTGTGCCGCGGCACACCGGTTGCGGAGCACTGCACTATACGATGCCAGTCTGATGGCAGCCATGATGATCGGCTGCGACACCACTCCAGACGACTCTGCCGATGTTGTGGGGTCAAAGGCAAAAGTCTTAACGATGGTGGACGGTACCACGGGAGGTATACACGTGGCTGTAGTGCGTTGAATAGTCGACAATGATACCGTTGGGGCGGTTCGGGTCTGGCGAGCAATCATCCTATCTTCAATCGCATTTCTGCTCCTTGGCCTTCCAGAGCCTTCATTTCATCGGCTATTTCCTTGTAGCAACCAATGCTGCCAACATCTTTGCACAGCAGTGTCTGTACGCTGCAGGTGGCGGCCCATTGCTCGGTATGACCACCCAGCTTCACGCAACCCTACAATGCGACAACGTTTGAAGTCGTTTAGTTGTCTGTAAAATCTTCGATATCGTCGTAATGGCATCTTTAGTTGCTCCTTTACGGAATTACAATGGCAGCAACAAAAAATGATTATTTTTCCGCCTCTGTTACTGGTTTCATACTTTGCGAATTGCGCACTAGAAATGCGCGCTATGATCGCAATTCCTGTTCATTTGCCTTGAAACTTTGATCATTTGCATGTTCGATCAAGATGTTTTTGCATACCAAATTTCGTCACGATCGCAGAGGTCCTTCTTGATGCTTCAATTTTTTTGTAAAAGAGTGTAAGAAGGAATGCCTTCGGAGACGTATCTGCATTAAGAGATTTTACGCACTCGTAGCTATTTGCATCTATATTTGTGATTCATTCCTTCCAAAAATTTGCATTCTGACTATGTAATATTTTAAGTTAAGCTAAATGAGTCTCTCAAACTCCGAATCTTCATTTATTTATTCCAAACAGCTGCGAGTGGTAAACAAAGCGAGTTGTAAAATGATACAGTTGATTACAAATAGTTTGTCTTGCTATGCTGGATGGAATTTTATTGTTCCTATTACAGGATTAATAGATACATTTAGAAACTAACCTATTTCTAAAAAGTACTTAAATTATTATATATTAAAAACGATGACAGCAACTATACGCGAACTAGTCAAATAAAGTTAGTTATTATCCAAAAACGCAAAACTTACTTCCTGGAGAATAATATTTTAAACTTTGAACCAGATAACACAAATAAAAATTTAATGTAAATAAAAATATGCGATTTTTCACAGTATTTTATTTAGAACTCTCTTCATTAACCTTCCGAACGCGAGATCTGTGAATAACGAGTTCAAGTTGTATTCTGAATATACTCGATAATGTTCTTATCGCGTCGACAAAAACTGAGATTTTAACTGCGATCAATTTCTCTGGAATACGCTTTTATGAATCTTGTACCTGCGGTCGGAGGGTTAAGAGAAACCTAAAAACATTTTTGGTTATTTTTCAGGTCAGATGAAAATAGCTGAAGACTCAGATTTTGAAATATTTCAAATCCCCGAGTCTATCGTGCACATTCACAAGTATGACAAATAGTTATCTATGGTAAGCCCTCTATCGCACAACGCGTCAAAATTCTCAGTTTCTTTCGTTAATTACACATATCTTAAAAAAATTTAGGGCATGCCACAAGAAACATAATCTTTAGCATTCCTGAGGAGGGCGACTACAAGCCTATCAGCTGTCACTTCTCCCCATCTGGTTGGGTCCGGATTAGTGAAAAAATCTAATCCGCTCTTCCCAAAGCTGTCAAATGTATTTTTTCCATTGTATTTTTATTTTGTCGCGGGTGTCGGGCGGTCGCTTTTGATCGGATTTCAGAGGTCAGTCGGGATCGGTTTGATTGGATTTAGCAGACTTCTGGTCGGTCCTATTTTAAAATGGTCCAATGACCCTCGGTCATCCGTAAACCTTTGGGTTAAGTGTTGAGCTGAAGTGAAGGAATGAAACCATGGAAACACACCTTCAAGGCAGGACGTTTTGAAATCTGCAGCATGGTAATAAGTAAATAAATAATAATAATAAATAATAATAATAAGTAATAAAATCTGCATATGCATCCGCGCAATAAAATCTGCACATTTAGAAGAAATTAAATATTGCAACTGAAAAGTGACACATGTGAGTCGTTTTGCTGTTTTTTCGAACAATAGGGTTTAAACTATCTAATACAGGTTCTTTTAATAAGAAAATTACAGATTCCCCCCACGGGGGAAGGTGGATCATCCCGAATTGAGGAGTTCAAATCGTATGCTA